TTCAACGGCCTCGACGGCGTGGGCCGCTACTTCGACCTGCTAGCCAGCCTGGTGACCTTCGAGGACATGCGGTTCGACCGCGAGGACGAGTGGGTGGTCGACCAGCAGACGCTGGCGGTGTGCGTGCGCGGCCGCGCGCGCTTCATCTGGAAGGCCACGGGCGAGACCTGGGACGAGGCCTTCTGTTACCGGCTGGGCATCGCCGAGGAGGTCAGCCAGTCGTCCGAGCACAGCGGCCAGTTCAAGGTCCAGGAGTACCGCGTCTGGTCCGATACGGGTGCTGCTTACCTCGCCAGCCGCGGCCAGTTGAGGCAGCTTGAGCTTGCTGTCGATCAGAAGGAGAACCAGACGAAAAAGGTCCCTGCTGCTGCCAAGGAGGCCGATCCTTCTTCTTCATACCCGCCGAGGGATGCCTTGGGGTCGGGCATGAATGTGTATGGGAATTGTGGATGATAATACACCATACGAGAAGAGAGAAAAAAAGGAAGAAATTCTGTCTGTCGAGCGAGTTTGGTCTCATTTTTAATGATATTAGGATATAATGCAACTCTGCTTCTTCATAACGACATAATGCAATTTTTTTTGTCATCAGCTGCGATTTTCCCAAGGTCTGCTTTCTACGCATATATGTCCTGGAACTAGTGTCATCGCAAAGTTGCACTATACCTACTCAATACAATCGTTATTCCTTCTATCCTACCAGCTAAAAGAAATCCGGGCAGCGGAGATGTAAGCCCAGCAGAAAGTCACAAAAAGCGCCTCCTTGAACTCCCAACCTTCCGAGATGATAGTAGTCTCGACATGCTATAAAAAAAGGATAAATAAAGGAATAAAAAAGTAGGGAAAAAAGAAGAGTAGTACAGGGGAGGAGGTCAGATCACTGCTTCCACGATTTCCCGCAGTTCATACACGTGCAGAACAGCGTCATCGGTTCGTCTGCACTGCGCGTCTGGGCCTCCGTGTAGGTCACCTTGCGCTGGCCACACTTGCCGCACTGCAGACTCGTGCTGATGCTCCGCTCCGCCTGCGCAACCATCGCCTTGTCCATGTTCTCCTTCTGGATCCGCGCATCCTCCTCGCGCCGCTCCGCCGACTTGAGCTCCTCGTGCGACATCTTGACAAACTGCTCCGGGCTGACCTCGTTGGTCAGCACGCGCATCCGCAGCTGCGGGTTCGACTTGTTTTTCAAGTTCTGGAACAGACTCCGGATCTTCGTGCGGTACTGCTCCTTCGTCTCCGGTCCGTACACGTTGTACGCGGCAGCCTCGACGGCGGTCGCCTTGGCGAGCACAGCCTTCGGGGGCTCGGTGGTGGTGAAGCACAGCCCGTCATACATCAGGCCGACACAGCTGTCGCGAACCTTGTTCCCGGTAACGTTGATGTCGACGCCATCCGCCTTCCACGTCCGCTTGTCGGGCGGGACCGACGGCTTGTCCGTCTTGTCGCTGGGGGTCGTCGCCGCCGCAGGAGAGGCCGCGCCGTTGGGTGATTTGCGAGCGGCGGCAGCGGCACCGCTGGCTTTCTGCTTGTTGACCTCGCTCCGCCACTTGGAGACGATCTCTCCGGCCAAACGCGCCACGTCCGGGGACTTGTGCTGTTTTAGCTTATTCACGATGATACCGATCCGGGTCGTGCGAAGCAAGTCTTCCGTAGGGTGCACTCCCTTTTGTAATTCTTTAAGGATGCCCACGATGGTGGCAGGAGTATCATTGGAGGTCACAGCCTTGGTCAGCGCCTTGGATTTCACCTCGATTTCCTTGACGTCCATGGTGAGGTGCTTCAGGACGAGTCTGCAGGAGTTAGTTCTTCTTGGAGTGTCAGTGGACAGATCGAATCGTTTATAATAGCAGACAGCCTGAGACAGGTCCTGGGTAATAAATGGAACAGCAGGATGGAAGAGTCAGTGTTTAGGAGTCAGTCCGGCAGTGCATTGTCGCGCGCATTCACTGCGCAGATCAAGCTGTGAATCCCGTGTGTGTTGCCACGCGACCGTGTCGAGGCAATCCAGGGGCCCAAGCAAAGAGAGAGGCTCACCAGACCAAGGTGAATTCACGGTTGCAGCGGTGTATCACCGCGACACCCGTAAACAGAGAAAGCAAAGACCAATCTCGCTGATATGGAAGGACTTGGGGCGGGCCGAGACCTCACGCGACGACGAGCGATAGCCGGGGAACCGACAGGAAAGCGGGACCGCGAGGACGACAGAAGGCGGAATCGAGGAAGGATGGACGGTGGCGGATAGGAGAGAGGTATTCGAGGATGAGAAGGTCCAGAATGAAGATTGTGATGCGATCAAAGAGTCGAGCTCAGGAACCGCGAGTCGAAGCAGGCTCGTGCGATCGATCCGCCCAGGCCGATGCCCACGCTGATTGGCCCAGAGGTTCCCCGCGCCAAGATTGCCGGCAGCAGCGACGTGATTGGGTCAGACTGAAGACATTCTACGCAACAATTCGATTCTACGCAACACTCTACGCTGACGATGGCTATCGAATACTGCATCGCTGGATTGAATCGCAAGATCCTATCTACATACATCCATTCACCGGCAGCCATCTCGCTGAGCTTTTTTTTTTCTAGACATCTTATCCATCACAGAGTCCACCCAAGAGTCATAGATATCGGGAATACTGCACCAGGAAATCGTACACATTTCAAAGAGCCTGTCGGGAGAGATAATGTCGAGGAGAATGTCCCCGTTCGATGACGTGTTGACTCGTCATCCGCACCGAAAGGCGTTCACCCAATCTGGATACGTCCGCCGGGCAAGCCTTCGGCGTTGTATCGAGTAAATGGCGATATCGACTCCCATCGACAGGTGGAGAACATGCGGTAGGAATAGGGAATAATATATGGTGTGGCTGATGTGTTGGCAGGGGGCTAACGCAGGGGTGGAGACAAGCGGTGAAGTTGCAGATTTATATTCCCGTCTTTCCGAGAGTCTCAGCCAGCTGGTCGACGTCCTTGTCTTCCTTCTCCGAGACAGTCTGGTCCTCCAACTGCACGGCCTCCTTGACGATCTTGGTCGCCTTGTGCTCTTCCTCTTCCTCTTCTTCGTCCTCCTCTTCCTCGCCCCCTTCTTCGCTGTCTTCTTCGAGTTCGTCCAGCTCATCGATGCCCCATGCGTCTTCGGGGTCATCCTCCTTGCCATGCTCTTCCTTCCGTTTCTCCAGGAGTGCCCGGAGCTCCTCGACATTGCCATCATCCTCAAAGAATCTGTTTCCGTTCAGCTCGATCCGTCTCAACGCAGGCAGCGCAGTCTTGGCCGCGTGCAGGAATAGCTTGACACCCTCCGCGGTAATCTCGTTGTACTGCAAGCGCAGAATCTGGATCTTCTGGTTCTTGCCAGCGGCAAGGGCTTCTGCAATCTTAATTCCGCCCCGCGCCGACAGCAGGCAGTCGCCCACACCCAGCTCGCGCAACGACGGCCAGCCGTGAATCACGCCTGCCAGAGCGGTAGATCCCAGGAGGGTGAAGGTGTTATCTTGGAGGTCCAGGACCTCGAGAGCCGAGGCGTGGCTCAACCCTTCCTTCAAGAGCAAAGAGATACCCTCCTGTCGAATGCCATTCTGCGTCATTTTCACCGAGCGAATGCCCGCAGCGTGGGCCTTGTAGGCAGCAGCCCATGCCTGCATGCTGCCATTCTCCAGACGGTTCCGTCCGCAGACAATGGTCTCGAGCAACGGAACTTCCTTGCCAGACTTGCGCGCCTCCTCCTTGCGCTCTGCCAGCTTGGTCAGCGCTTCGGCGATGAGGGCTCCGGCGGCCGGGCCAAGGCCGTTGTTGTTCAATATCAGGTGGCGAAGAGGGACATGGCGGGAGAGGAAGTCGACGAGGGGCGCTTGCGTGTTGAGACCGAAGGCGTTGTCGGACAGATTCACAGTATGCAGAGTAGGGATTTCCACCAAGGCGTTCAGGAGAGCCGTCAATGCAGGAGGGATCTCCGACAAGAGGCGCGACGTAAAGATGTCGGCCAGATCGGCCACCTCGAGGCTCTTCTGGGTTGCGAGGACGGAAGCCAGGCGCTCCGAGGCAGCAATGCCAAAGGTATTTCCGCCCAGGCGAACCTCGGTGAAAGAAGTATCCTCGAGAAGAGGCTTCACATGGGCCTCGACATCCTCAGCGGTATCAAGCTTGAGGCCCTTGCCATCGAGGGAGAAGACCTTGGGAGGGGCCATTGCGGGGTAAGTTCAGGGGCGGCGCGTTGATGGCGGAACAAGGGACGCGAGGGACGTGTCGAATTAAAATTCCAAAAGCAGAATCGCAAGTAGACCAGAGATCCAAAATGCGGATCTGTCAAGGAAACGGGCGCCCCCAGACAGGATTTGTTGTGATGCCTTGTTTAGTGGGCAGAGGAAAATAATGATGATTAGCCTCCTTTTCCCGCCGGCCTCCACCACTCACCGCCCGCCGTTCTGCCGGGTCTTTGTGCAGCCCGGTCACATGACTACGCAGGGCAGCGGGGGCAGCCCCACTATCCGTATTATGTAAGCAGATCTATGAGGCTGACGGCGTTCACCATTTACGGACATACAGTTGACATGGATCCCGGTTATCAACCTTGGAATCATTATTAGAATCCGTTCTAGACTTCCCCGACTTTGTTGCTTCGGGTCAGTAGAACATAAAATAGAAACCGGCATTTTCAATCAATTCATTGCCCATTATGAACCGGCGTGGATCAGAAGAACGAGCTTGCCACGGCCCTCAATGGCTTCGCTGATTATTTGTTAGATAATTTTTTTTCCCCTTCCACTTAAGAGTGCTGGACATTTGAATATGCAGTGATGTAGATATTTTAATTAAGACAGTTGTCCAGTAACGGCTTCATCCGCAAGGATGCCCCGATCAACACCAGGATCACTGCCTGCAGCAGAATCGATTCCGTCTCTCTTTCATCCATCCGCCTTCGCATGCTCGAATTGCACCCGAACTTCATATTTTCATTGTATCAGATTACGCAGTTTGGCTATTACCGGATTTGCTGGAAGGATACTTCAAACTCAGAGGCCATCACACTTCTCCTGTAGTACTCCCAACGGAGTTGCAAGACGTGATTCTCCGTCCGGTCTCATCCTTTCCATCCAAACAGAGAGATAAGGTCCACTAGTTTATGTGTAATATATGGGTCTCTTAAGTATATTGTACCTGTTATTGAACTAATATGAATCTAAACCACTATAGGTCTTTGGTCCATCACTATTTAGGCGGCATGCTTTCCCCCTTCCATGTACGCTGACACGCTGAAACAATCACTGCAGAAATCCAAACAACATGGACACAGTGGAAATCTCCGCTTTAGTTGCTGGTAACCCCCCTCCTGTCTCTGATCCTGGCTACGACGCTCAGAAAACCCCCTCCAGAAACCGAGCAGCTCAAGGCGGCGAGCGAATCCGGTAAAATCGAACGTGTTCGCGCTCTACTCGATTCCAATTGACTCTCCCTCAATGACTGGACTTATCATCTTACTAGATATTGAGATGGCTCAACGCAGTAACCAAACTGCGGTCGCTGAGCGTCTGCGCAAGGTGTTCAATTGTTCACAGTTCTCCCACATAAACATACTGTCAAAAACAACTGCCTATTATTGTGGCTTTGGATTCTGTTTTGTGTCTTTTGCTTTTCCGGGCCAGATATCACGGCATGCAATACAACGTTTGATGGATGATCTTCTTGTTTCTGCTCATTTTTGGAAGAATAATGACATTTCATAGACGCGTCGCATAACAAATCAATAGTCTGATTCGCTTTTAACATGCTGGTACACCTTGTCATAACTTTAGTACATGTATTGCAAAGACTCCCAACAGACCTATGTGAGAAGGGGACATTTTGCAAATACAGAAGAACCTACCTACAATCTAGATAGATAGACACCGGACAAGATCTACCTACCGCTGGTAGATGTACGGAGTAGATGTATTCATTGCTAATGTAAGCTCGTGTGGGCCCTTACGATCACCCCGGCATGCCACTATACCGCATACGGTAGGTCCCTGGCCTGGGCAGGCACGTCAACCTCGAAGCATTATTCATCATCGTCATTTTCCGCTCTATCACGAACTCTCTCTGCCCTGGCAGGCACGCTGCGAGCAATTCGAATCGGCTCTATATCCAATTGAACCGGTGCGCATTATTATACTCAAGACATACTTTCATCACCATCACCATGTCTTGGCTGTTTGGCTCGTCGAACGGTATGTGTACCTAGCCTGTCTGCTATTAGCTGATCTTGGTTTGCAGTTTTCCGCAACCTCCGCGGACAGGACAGGACAGGATCTGCGGCTGTCTTTGTCTTTCTTGCTGCGCTGATCAACAAGCCTTGTCCTGTGTTCGGCCTATGCAGTCAATTGTTCTTTTGTTTTTTTTTCCTCCTCGTCTATATATCCTCTACTTTTGGTTTCAGGATATTGAAGAGCTAATTCCATTGTTCATACAGCATCTGCGACGACGACGTCCACCACAGCGAGCTCAGCCACCAACAACACGCAACAACAGACAACCTCGGAACAATCGGCCAACAAGCCAAAGGTAAAAATTGACTGAAAAGAAGGGGGGGAAAAAACATTACATTGTTTTCGCTGAGGGAGGATCAGCGCGCTGATTTGGTAACAGCCATGCTGCGTGTGCAAGGAAGAAAAGAGCGCCCGCGATGACTGCATGCTCTTCTCCAAGTCCGACGACCCACAGAAAGACTGCCAGCCCTTGATCGAGCAATATAAGAACTGCATGGCGGGGTATGGGTTCAAGGTTTAAGGAAGAAGGAAGGACAAACCGACCAGGTCGCATTGCGTTGGCGGAGGAATGACAGAATGATACCAACACACCACTGTATACTATGTACTGTACAATAATCGCATTGGGATATACCTCACTCCTCTTTTCTCATCTCGCATTGTATTCGATATTTTTTTCTATACTTTTCCGTCCTAGCTAAGGGATATGGCTAGGGGACATACATGTACTGCAGGCATTGGCGTTTGGAAAGGGTTGATACCTATGTGTGTACTGTACACTACATTACATTGCAATAGCTAAACCCGCTCTTACAAGGACGTTGCATCAAATAAAAGACCTCGCGATGATAAAATTTTGTTGCTAATATAACGTTGAAGGTTTAAGGTTCATAAAATCTAATACACATCTTGCAATAAATTCGGACTTGAACGGAAAACGGATATAAAACGACACGGCAGAACTTACTTCACACGAAGATCTAAAAGTAGATGAGGGTATCGAGATTTAGATATCCACCACACAGTTGACTAGTACTCAGCCTCACTGTGTCTTTTTCTTGCTCTCCTCCGCTGACGTCCTCCGGCCTAATCGGTACGCTTGCAGGACAAGGTTCCACGTGCACCACAGGTAAGCCAGTCCAAAACCACTGGCTCCGATGAGCACGTTGAGTACCACCCAAAGATCCGGTTTATCTGCGGGAGGAGGAACAAACGCCTCAAGGACATGCCATATCACCATGCTTAGATAGAAGATGAGGTGCACAACAGTAGTGAAGATGTGGACTGGGCCAGCATTCGGATTTTTAGGTTGAGAGCGCGTGCGGTAAGTTTCAAGTGATGTTGGGGGGAGACCCATGAGATAGGCCCAGAGTAAGGTAATGACAAAGTACGGGATGCGGAGATCCTCGCGCTTTAAGAGTGGGAAAAGTGTCCATGCTCCGAGGATGTTGGCCCAACCAACCCACGCGCGCGTCTCCTTGCTCAGACCACCGTCGCCGCTCAGAAGGAGGGTCATTGGCAGCAGCGGAAGGAGAACACTCTTCTCGTGGACTTGGAAAGAAAAGAGAAAGAACCCCCAGGCCGAGCTGCACAAGGCAAGCAGGAGAAGGGTGGGCCGTGGATAGCGGAAGATAACAATACATGGGACCAGGATAGAGATCAAAGTCGCGCCGAGAGATGCCCGCTGCAAGACGCTCGAAGGAAATCGGTTCAGTTTGTAGAAGGTATGGATTGCACACCATGCATTCGCAACCTTATCCTCGAACAAGCCACGGGCAAACGGGAATATCCGATGGATAATCTGCGAAACCTGGAGTATAGGAGCATAGTACCAGGACTTCTCATCCAAGTGCACCAGAAGACTTTCCAGGAAAGCTGGTAGGGGAGCTGGTGATGGCAATCCGCGGTACCAATTTAACAGGGCACCTGCGATGAACGGCGCAAACAGCGCCGCAAATGCGGCGAGAGTGGTCAAAGCAATGAACAGGAAGCGCCCAATCCTGATCCGGGGGAATACGCACACTCCCAGCAGAAACGAAAACATGATTGGTGCGTAATAGAGCGCCATCTGTTTGAAGCCAAGCGCCGCCACGAAAAATATGCAGGTCAGGGGCAAACGTCCTGTAAGAATGCTCTCCAGACTGGCAACCACTAGTCCTAGCATCACCGTGTTGTATTGAAAGTGGCCATGGTCGATGAGAATCGTGGCCGGCTGCAGCAGGATAGCGACCAAGGCGATCGTAGTAGACCAAGTAGGCATACCAAACAGACGTGCATACCGTCGGACGAAGATGACGACTGCCGGAATATAGATGAGGTATTCTGACACGGATACAGTGGCACGCATGTATACTTTGAGAACAGGATCCTCCATCCCACGGGACTCGTCGAGCGCGAAATAAGCGGGGTCCAAGAGAGAGCCACTGCTAAATTAGCATACCACCCATCTCAGACCTCAAAAAATGCATCCCATCGACGTACATCTTTCCCAGGAGCCAGCTGTGGTACGCAGTCAAGGGCGGATAATCCAGTCCCCAGTACTGAAGGTCGTAGAAGTACCATTGGGTGATAGGCAAGTGAATTGTAAGTTCCATCCAGTGTCGTTGGGCTTCGAAATCACCATACATCGGAGGTACCTGGAAACCTAGAAGACTGTGAGCCATGGCATCCAAATAAGATCCGTCGAAATAGAAATCAACAAGCACACACCAGAATAACCCCACAGGCTCACTGCCCACCGGAACAGGCCCACGGCCATGAGGACCAACGGCAGGATGAGCCATTGTGACGTGCCTCCACGGGCAGCCCAGAGAAAAGAGACTAGGGGAAATGCAGGCGCCGCCCTGGACGTGCCAGGCTCGAGAATCAGATCATTGTTGAAACTGGGAGACGTCCCCAGGAGCTTCTTTTTCTGCCTGGGACGGTAGGAGGGGGAGGGAGCGGCCATGGAGGGTACGTAGACACCTCTCAATTGGGTCCCATGGACTATCTAGCACCTGGCCTTAGCGTGACAGGTCGACAGGAAGATCGATCGTTGTACTCCGCAGGGAAGTTTGTCTCTATGCATGATCAACCATTCAGAATCGTTTTAGCGGGACAGCGCCAAAGCACATGACGAGCTGCAGTGTGGCTGGTGCAGAAGTGCACGTGATTCCAGCCTAGTCCGTTCCGAGTCTAGCGCGCCGCTGTCACGCGTACCCGAGGATCACGCCCAGGCGGTGTGAGTTTTCTGCAGGCGGTGAAAGAAATTCCCTGGGCAACACCAGCCTTCCCCATTTTTTTTAGTTTGCTATCTCGCAGAATATTTTTTTCCCTCCTGCATT